ATTTGGGGACATTTTTCATTCAGGAGCCCATTCTAGACGATTGACTAGACCCAAACACAAAGTCACAAAATTAGCTGCTCACTGTGAATTTGGATCAAGACGACGTACCAAACACCTTTGGTATTTAAACACGGAAAAATCAATGGGACTGGATGAACTACACCTTAAAAATTTTACTTATGGACTGGAAAGATTTTATTACCACTCCAATTCATAAGACAGGACTAAGACAACTCCCATCAAGCCACAGACCTGTCAGCTTCACCAGATTCGTAGTAAAGTACTGGTAGGAATAATAAAAAAGGCTACAATTACATTCATGGAAACTAAGAATTTGTCAAACAGTGAACAACATGGGTTTAGGAAGGGATTAGTTTGCTCAATAAGCCTTATAACATGAGAAATGGACGGAGGTTCCAGGTAATGGAAAATCACTGGATTCCGCCTATGTAGACTTCCGCGAAGTGTATGATCAGATTCAGAATAATAGACTCCCCCTAAAGCTAGAGAATCTAGGAATTGCTGGACCTATCCCAAAGTCAAACAGGGGTTTCGTGGCAGATTGTAGGCAGGAAGTAAGAATAAATTCAAAATTCTCCCCCTGGGAACCGGTACTTAATAGAGTACGTCAAGACTCTATCCTAGGTGATCTACTTTTTATACTGCATGTAAATGATCTCTCAAGCGTAGTTAAGTCTCCAGTGCTGCTTTATGATGGTGATTTAGGAATTTGGCGAGAATTAACAAGGGATGCAGACGCATATGCACTTCAGATGAACTTAGATGTTCCTGTTGGATGGTCTGAAAGATTAGTGATGCCTTTCAAAGCGGCAAAGCTTGTCTACATGCACATTGTGGGTACAAAGGTAAATAGTTGCAGCATAGTGGGAGAGTCTTCATCCGTAGATCGATCTCACAATGATCTTGGGGTAACAGCAAGCCGTGATCTTAAGACTACGGCTCACTGCCTAACGGTCACTGCCAAGTGGTTCAGAACCCTATAGGCTATAAGACAAACATTTACCAAGTTGGATGGTTATATGTTCACTACAGCATACACAGCCTTAGTAAAGTCCTGAATTGAAAACTGCCTCCGTTTATAAGGTGACTTGGATATTCTGTAAAAAGTACACCTGGAAACTACCCGTGCAATTCTAGAACTCCAAGGTCAGCTATACATAGAGCAGCTCGACCTCTTTAATCTCTCCTACCGCTGATTAAGGGGTGGTCCGATTTTGATGAATAGAATAGTAATATATAATCTTAAATCTGATATATACCCTCTTTTTCTTCCTACCAGTTCAGGGCAACTCAGAAGACATAGCAGACAAATAGGAAAGCCGAAAAACGAACGAAATACCCAAGGCATACAGTTTTTCACACTGGGTCATAGATTCTCGAAACCTGTTACCGTAGGAAGTGGTGCCCGCCTCTTTATTTGACTGATTCAACAAAATACTAGACACTCTCAGAAGCCTACTAGAAAAGGACTGATACGATCAGTGAGCCTTCTGTTCTTACCAGACAAATCTAAATCATAATGTGATACATCTAAATTCCGCGCCACCACCCGACATTTTCAAGTTTTCTTTTTCGTCCTATACGGCAGCGCTCCAGGGGTATCGCGACACTTTTTTGCGCTACTTTTTCATTTCTGCTTTGTGAACAACCGAATTCCGAAATTAATTATGAATAAATTTGAAAGTCTATTTTCCGTTTTCATAATTAGGTGAAAAGGGGTTTTTCATTTTGCGTTACATGGTATCGCGAAGTCCTTGAAAATTCATTATTCAGGTGCTGCTATAATAGTTTTTTCGTGTTTGCATCACAGACTAGCAATTATTTCTACTTAGGTATACACTGATGGTAAACAAATCATTTGTTCTTATATGAAATAGCATGATTCAGGCATATATCGTCATAAAAATTGTATAGTCATCAAGGCTACCAAAACTGCGTTACAACTAACGATACCATGGTAAGATTTATCGTTTTTCCCGTCTTTATCACAATTTCGGCTGATTTTCACTGTTTTTTTCGACTTTCATGGCAGAAATCGATTGATAGTGAAAACATTAGGTGTATCGAGTGTTGTAAATATTATGTATATGCTATAGATGATAATAACACATACCAAGATGTTAATATCACCTTCTACAGTTAGATATATTAGCCACTAGATGATTATATTGCAGGAAATAAATCATAATCATGCGGAAGAGGTATAATTATGTGGAGATTTTACCAGAGACCAAGCTAGGATAGCATTACTACCTCTTGTGTAGATCTACACAAGTATTTGGCTGTACCAAAGCATGTCATTGAGATATGGCTGTGACTTTTTTTTCTTTTTTTAATTCAGAATTCACGGGACGACTACCTCAATTCTCAATAGCCGTGCAGTTGTTTTGATGTTCTACCTACATTTCAATAAACATTATTTTTCAAACATCTTACTTTTTTACTTACATGGAAAACTGTAAAAGTGTTGAGAATGTGTGTTTGAGTGTCAGTGAACTTTAGATTAAATGCACATTCCTTATAAATAATACATTACCTGTTCCTTCTTTTGCAGATAATTTCAAATAACAATGGATTAGCAATTGCATTGGATATGCAAAACAATCGGTGCTTAAGCTCTAGTGTTGTACAATAATACTGTTGGGATATTCAGGAAAATATCCCAAAAATTATCCTGTTAAGCCTAATGCTATCCTTGGACATGGAATGGTATCATCTTATTGGCCAATATTTGTTTAACGTGTCATTTTCCTACTGGCCATTATTGTACAATGTTATTTTCTATTTTATGGTACGTTGTGGTCTGCTTGACTGGTATATAAACTCAGTATGTTTGAAATATAATGATTCATAAATCCGAGGCTGAAACTTGTGTTCTGGACGCATCTGGCTGGGCTAGACAGGGAAGCGAGACCAATCAGAACCCTAGGTCGTTCTACGTGTTTGTGCGTCTTTGGTCCGATCAAAAATTCGCTACCCTTAATCCGCAGCATCTATTTTTCACGTTATAACAAATACGCTTTACCTTTTAAATAAAAATTTTAAAAAATATATGCCGGTTTTCCACCGCATTGAAGATTTATTTTGGTCTGTTGTTGAAAATAAAGGCGAACATAGGAGACCTTTGGGGTTATGTCAGTGGAACCTGGAATTAATGATACATTTAACCATATTTCTTACCTGAAGAATTGGAAAACGTTGAAGATCCTTCACAGCATCATAAGGACGCAAACGTAGGTCAATGTCTGTTTTACTCCAAATTTTCCAAAAAGTCAATATCAGGGAATCACCTCTTCTGAGACATTCTTTTAGGTGTTTATGAGCACTTTCGACACGGTTGTTTGTGTGGTTGCCCAGGCTTAATACATGTCGCCGGTAACAGCGAGCCCACATTGACTTCCTGGCAATCCAGTAATCATTTATGTAATCGTACGCCCGTGGGAAATGCGTCCTTAGATGTTCGTACTTTCGAGCAAATCTGAATATAATGCGTTATGAAAAGCGAAGCTCACATATCAGACCGTCTAGTCTTCACAAGGTGTTCCAAGCATTTGCGCACATCAGGATTTCGGAACTACAGAAAATAATTTGTACAGCTAACACATACCTTCCTGAAAAACGCTCTCGGGACATGGAATGAACAAAGTATTATGTTAGAATGACTGTGCGTAGACTGCACAGCCGAAATTTCGGTCGCTGCCGAATCCATAATGAAAGTACATGTAGCATAAGTACCGCACATGATCTCTTTAAAACATTCCAATAGTTTTTCGACATCTTCGCGTCGTTCTTAACTGCAAAGAGCATACATAACAGTGTGCCCTTGCCCAAGACTGTCAGTCACCACTAGCTGGAACAGTGGAAAACTTTAAGATAAATTTATCACTATTCGTTACTTACCCGACTTTATTGGTCTGATAAGTCGAATCAATACATATTACTTCCGGGAACGCGTGGTAAACAGCTATTTGCTCTCTGCGGCTGAAGCAAATCATAGACATGTTCCCATTTTCATTGAATAATTTAACTTCAGTATTTGCTTGAACGCGCTGTAAAATGTCATTGATATTTTTAGTGTCTAAACTCAATTAATTACAATGTGAGTTCAACAACCTGGGTACAACTGTGAACGCATTCTGGCGATATCGTCCTTGGTAAGCTGTTTATTGAACTTCCAAGAAACCAGATACCGTAAGCAACGAGTTGGTGTATTACTCAGTAGAAACGTTCTCAAATACAAGCGTTCACTTGAGGTCAACTGTTGTTTCGATGGATCGAAAGAAATATATCCTTCTGTCCAAGGATGGTTGTGCACGGTTTTAATAGAGGTGAGTTTCAACTCACCATTCAGTGCCCGGACCCAAAATCCTGATTGACAATGGCAATATTTCGACCTGAAGGATAAATTCATTTGAAGTAAGGCATACGTAGATGACCGACGTCGTCTCCTTTGCCTAGGTTGTATTGGCGAATTAGAAGTTGTATGCTCTTCAGAAGAATGATTATTGATATCATCATCTACATCCTGAACGCAAGCATCTGACTCTGACGAACTGCGTTTTCGTCCATATGTACCGACATATCGCACGAAAAAGTACTTTAGAGTTAGATCATCACTGTTCTTTTTGCATACTGACATAACGTACTTAGTATGCGTATACTAAAAAAATAATTATTAACCTCAGAAGTCATATTACCTTATGTACTTCTTTCAAACAGGTCTCAAAATTTTCCCAACTTGTAAATCTTCGAGATAACATAATATCATTGAAGATTCGTCCTATATCATGCATCATCACGATGGCATCGTCTTCTTTACTTGAAGAATGAACGTCATTAGACATGGTGTGGCTGAACTCAATTCAAATCTAAAAATGTCTTGATTTGACCGCTTCTAAAAATTTTCACGAATTGTCGATGTGACGCACCAATCATTTTGCGACGGTTTGACCTTCAAGTGCTCGCAACCCCCATCAGTTGACGATACCCTAGGAGCACTGCCGGACGATACCCTAGGGGCGTTGCCGTCATATACTAAGCATTTCTTGCAAGCAAAATTGTTTTTTATGTAGATGTAAGTTCTTCATATAACAAATAAGGTTTAACACATGCTCCAAGTACATCTCCTGTTTGTTTCTCCTAATCCGATCTTGGCGAGAATTCTGAGTTTTGGGAAAGCTGCATTATAAATTTTCTGGAGATACGAAAAAAGCTAAAACCTTTCTTAGGTATGGGTCCTATTAAACTAGGACTTGTAGGAGTACTGCAAATGCCAGTAAAGAGACCAATGACCCCCTATTGCACCATATATGGTGCAGGCATATATACTTGAATTTTAATGTCGTACTTTTAATTTTATATAACAGTGGACGACGAGTGTTTTCTTTTTTAGCTGTAACTCAGTGCTTAGTGCTCTACGTTGTCATCGTGATAAATCCGCAATAGTTCATGAACTGGCGGACAACATCAACAAAAACTTCATTTACAAGGGTTCTTGGCGAGACTCTAATTTAGCGACGACCTTTGAACGAATCTTAAATGACCTTGACAATTATTAGCCAATCAGAAGACAGTTAGTATAAAGTGAGAATATATTGTAAGTAAGTAATGAATTACAGTGGATATTCTTCTTTTACATGATTTAAAAACTTGTTAAGGTTTGATGAAGGTTCAGAGGCTCTCAATTCATAATGCATATTGTATAGAAATTCGTCTACAGGGTTAGTGGTTAGGGTTGTAGCCAGTCAATAGACATCTCTTCTCTAAAATCCGATGTAAACCGATCGCATGTTAGCACCCTAATCCTAACCCCTAATCTAACCCCAACCTCACCCTAACCTAACCCTTAACCCTAACCTTAGTCCTACACCCTAATCTAACCCTAACCTTAACCTAACCCTAAACCCTAACCTTAGCCCTAAACCCTAATCTAACCCTAAACCCTAACCTTAGCCCTAAACCCTAATCTAACCCTAACCTTAACCTAACCCTAACCTTAGCCCTAAACCCTAATCTAACCCTAACCTTAACCTAACCCTAAACCCTAACCTTAGCCCTAAACCCTAATCTAACCCTAACCTTAACCTAACCCTAAACCTAACCTAACCCTAAACCCTAACCCTTAACCCTAACCTTAGTCCTACACCCCAATCTAACCCTAACCTTAACCTAACCCTAAACCCTAACCTTAGTCCTAAACCCTAATCTAACCCTAAACCCTAACCTTAGTCATAAACCCTGATCTAACCCTAACCTTAACCTAACCCTAACCCTAACCCTAAACCCTAACCTTAGCCCTAAACCCTAACCTTAACCTAACCCTAAACCCTAACCTTAGCCCTAAACCCTAATCTAACCCTAACCTTAACCTAACCCTAAACCCTAACCTTAACCTAACCCTAATCTAACCCTAAACCCTAACCTTAACCTAACCCTAACCTTAGCCCTAAACCCTAATCTAACCCTAACCTTAACCCCAAACGCTAACCCTATGGACGAGTTTATATACAATATGCATTATGAATTCAAAACTTCTGAGCCTTTATCAAATCTCAACAAGTTTTTAAATCATGTAAAAGAAGAATATCCACTGTAATTCATTACTTTCTTGTAATATATTTCTACTTTATACTGTCTTCTGATTGGCTAATAATTGAAATTGCTCAAACGCTTCTTATTGGCTCGTCCCTAAATTAGAGTCTCGCCGTCCCATCTGTTTTAACCTCTCATTAATCACCTACTCTCTAAAATCCGCTGTGAACCGACCGTATGTTAGCATCGCGTGTTGAACTTGGCTCCGTGACCTTGAAATCGCCCAAACGCTTCTGATTGGCTCGTCGCTAAATTAGAGTCTCGCCGCTTTCTTTCTGTTAACATCAACTAACAAGCTGAATCTGCTTATAAGCACTACACCCAATATAGGGTAGCGACAATCGATTTGCTTGTATGAAATGTCTCCACTGTATGTAGACGTTTATCATGTTCCCTCTGCATAATAACAAAAGCTCACCTGCAATGTACTTTTGTATATAACAAATATTTAGACTAACGCTTATCTTGGGTAAAATTGTTTTCTAACTGAGTACTTACAGGTCATTTCCATAGATCCTTCAACTACCAGTAGTTTCTTAAAAAGCATTTGTAAAATGTATTCAATAAGAGTAAGTCGCTGTAACGACTTACATACAATTACAATAGCACTAGTTGTTTGGGTCCTAATAATGGGGGAACAGGGTTGTCTTCATGTTAAAGGATCGTGTTGGCGAAATTCCTGGTTACGAAACCAACCTGGTTACTACCCACTACATTTACCTTCATCTACTGGTAAAACTTTATGACAAAACTTGATATTATTAATCATACTGTTATGCTAACGCTGTTGTAAACACGTTTAATTTGGAAAGCCGGATATCTTATAAGTTTATGTATCAAGTACTCAGAATGCTCTCTATCTAGGTTAGTTAAGTTTTTCTATTACTGAACCATGTGAATTGAAGTTTATATTTCTGACCTTAACACCGATGGCTTGGAGGTTAATGTATTAGATCTTCAGCCACTAAGCTACAGCTTTAATCCTCCATCTATTTTGTTTTGGTTTTGCTGAAATCGAATTTCACATATATGTACATTTTTGAATAACTTGTATTATCATCATTGCCGTTAATATTACTATTAATATAAAGTGACATTTGGAGAATCAAGGACTTTGTTTGAAACTTGATGCAGATTGGATCTCTTTAAACCTACATTTAATCACAAAATGATACACTTATGTACATCAATAAATGGGGAAAAATGTATCAAGGAAATAAATTGCCCTAGAAAGTAAGAAAAATATACAACTTTACTGGTTGATCACAGGTCCTAATACCAGTCCTACGCTCGGTCATTCACACTGGAAATTTTTAGTTTACAGAAAATCTGATTCTACATTTTGTGCTTTGTAGCCTTTATTCGGCAAGTGTCATAACTCTACATTTTCTCTCAGTTGTCTAACATAAAGAAATTATTTCTGAACTACGAGTTATTTGGCTGATCTTCCTTGAGACGACCCCACAGCAAGTATTGTCCCCAGATACATTGGAATCTTTCTACTGTATTTGTGAGACCATTAGCCTAAGAATTTACCAATCATTGGAGCATTCGGTACAAAGCCATAGGGACATTACTTTTGATGTTAATGTAATTAGTTCTGTGACTACTTGTACCAAGTTATATAGGGGAGAAAAATGTTTTTTTTGCACTGTCTTATCCTATAGTTGGTTCTGTCTTGACTTTGTTGTCTCTAATATGTTTTCATGTTATCAGTGAAACTAAACCGTGGATTTGTTTTCAAATGTTCTCGTTTTTTCTTATAGTATGGATGATAATAATGATGATGCTCCATTAGAAACGTCATTTAAGGAATTTAAGAAAAAGAAAATATATCTAACAGAAAACCTTAAAAGTGTTTATCAAGACGGTATTCAATCGTTAAAACGTAAACAAAATCGCAAGAGTGACCCTAGATTTGACCCTAGAGTTGATGGTATTTGTCACGTTGATGATTGGGAATTTTTAGAAGATGAAAGAGCGAAAACCTTAAAAGTATGTCACATGTTTTGATGTATAATTATTTAATTCTGTTCGGTTTCTATGTGGGTTCAGTAAGCATGGATATATTATTTGACACAACTTCATTGATTTGCTATACCACTAAGAGTGGATATCAAAGAAAACTTACAATACCACCTGAAGAATAAAGTGACTTATAATAAACTAGTCAACGAAATCGAATGTAGGTGCATCTGTTTTATGACCGAACCTATCCATTACCGTGAATCCTGAGGTGTTAATTATTAATATCTACCTTCCGACATGTGGCTACGTTCAAAATTTATAAAATTCAATACGCAACCATAAATGGTTCTTCGTAGAATATGGTGTGTTATTCTATAGATCACTTTTACAAGGTTTACGAGATAAAAGAAACACTAAGAAGAAATTAGTACTAGTAGCAGAAAATACAAGAAGCTCTTGACTAAAGTAGACGTTAAATGTTATCCAGGGGAAATATGCTGTTAATATGAGTATATATGGAACTCTCCTAACCGAGTGAGGTAGTACCTTAAAGTTACCAGGTTGACGGTTGCTGTTGTACCCAATCTTTTCACTTCATAAAGATATTTCTACTTGAAATCCTTCATTGCGATAAGTAAGTGACTTAAAACATACCTCCAAATGCCGTGGTGCGGTAGAAAGTGGGGAGAGTCAGCTCTCCTCGAAATGCTGTTACATGGCCACGTGCATACCACTGCCAGAAAAAGCCCTACTCACTGTCTTCTCGCGGCGTGGGCATTGTTTATGAAGTTGGGAGGACGAAAAGCGAATGTCTGGCGCTCTAACCGGGTTTGTAAGTACGAAAGGCCCACCTAGGGGAGTTACAAGACCCGACTTCAAACTACTGGTGCACATGAGCTCCAGGATCCTGAGGGAACAAATGGTGTATGAACCAATTGTTGGTCACAGGCTACCATGGGACTGCATCTCCTTACATTGCTCCACTGCCTTGTGGATTAAACCTTTAAGTAAAAGACTCAGGGAGTAGCCCCCTAAGATAACCACCTTCGGTTTGGGCACCCGGGCAGTATTCCAGCCCTCATACAAATCGAATGGTTTATGTGGTGCATATCTATTTGGTGCCTCCTCATACCAATGTTTATGTGTTTAAATAGATAGATAAAACATACTGTAATAAGAAATGAGTTATTCGGTCAAAGTATCCTGGTTATTTCATGTTCACTCATATGTACTTTGGTCACCGAGGCGGATTTTGTAGTACTGTTAAGTATTCTACAAGTTTATCAAGTCCCGAGAATTTTCCAGCTCTAGACATGTTAAGAACTGTTAAAGATTTCACATATTAATACAAAATAACAAGTGTGGTGAATTTTTCTGATGTTCTATTTAAACGTTCTCGAGTCACTGCCTGGTAGAAAACTGTATGCTACCACCAAATACACATACTTAAGCAGTTTTTCTGAAACCACGTGCACCATTCAAACGGGCTGCCTTCAACGTTCGCACACTTATGCAGGTCGGAAACAGATAGAGCTGGCTATCTCTTTGGGAAGTCTTAATATCAACGTTCGTTGTCTATTCGAGACCCGTATTCAAGACTCTGGTGAAGAACTAAAAATTCACACTCCATCTGTCGCTTCAAAAAGCTTGTTGTACGTGCGTTTATCCTGGGACCCTGTGGCATCTTCGTCTGGTCTTGCTGGCGTTGGTGTCACACTAAGCGCTAGAGCTGAGACAGCACTAATCGGTTGGATCCCCATTAACAGTCGGTTGTGTGCTGTTAGATTAGAAAGTTCCATCAAAGTGAGAAGAAATCGGCGTGAGAAACGATGTCTTTTCGTCATCTCCGCCTATGCCCCTACAGATTGCAGCCCGGATGCAATCAAGGATGAATTCTACCACCAATTATCTGTTCTTCTCCAGAAAGTGCGTTCGACAGATATTGCAGTACTAGCCGGAGATTTGAGTGCTCAGGTCGGGTGTCTAGGCACAGAAGAGAGTCGTTTAGGTGGCCGAAGGGGACTTGTTGGTCTCAGGACATATAACGGGGACCGTCTACTGCAACTTTGCACAGACCACAACCTGTTTCTGGCTAGCACTAACTTTCGGCACAGTCATCGCCGATGTGCCACCTGGCGTCCTTCCTCTGCATCTCAAGCCTAGACTCAGACTAATCACATCGCGATCAGCTACCGCTGGCGTGGTTGTGTACAAGACCGCCGCCAATCTTACCTTACTATTCAGGGGCCAACGAAGTGACCGCCACCAAAGGATTGATGTCAGCAAGTTGGTTGCAACTTCTGTTGCAGGTAAGTATCGAACCGAGCTAGCTTCTAGGCTAGCTACCATTCCACCGAAAAGTATAGATGAGTATTGGTTGCAATTGCATGACGCCACGAAAATGTCGGGTACAGTCAGTTGTGGGTTTGCGAAACGTCCCGCTTATAAGCAGTGGGTTTCTTCAGGCTCCTTACAACTCATTGAAGCCCGTCGGTCTACTCTGGGTGACCGTGAGTTTGACCATAAACGAAGGATGTTACATAAGGAAATTGGGCAAAGCTTGCATAAGGACCGAGAAGCCTGGTGGTCGGAGAGTGCTAATGAGTTAGAAGCAGCAGCTGCCTCTGGTAATTACCGGAAGCTCTTCCAACTCATCCAAGCCACTGGCAGCAAGAAGTCTGGTGTGAGCGAAACAATCTGTGAGGAGGACGGGATGCCAATCACTAACATCCATCGACGTCTTGGACGATGGTCAGAATTCTTCGAAGGGCAGTTCAACTGGCATGCTGCTCCGACAACATCGGTCAGACTGTCCTGCCCTCCATGGCCGGTGACGACTGATCCACCAACTGAGGCGGAAGTCCGCGAGGAGCTCCAACTCTTGAAGCACTACAAATCACCTAGCCCAGACGACTTACCTCCGGTTCTTTTTAAAGATGGTGGCGACTTTCTGACTAAGGAATTGACGGCGTTGTTTACAAAGGTTTGGGAGCTAGAGAGTGTACCAACGTCATGGAATGAGTCGATAGTTGTCTCTATCTTTAAAAAGGGTTCATGTCATTCCTGCAACAACTATCGGCAGATAAGTCTACTTCCGATTGCGTCCAAGCTATTGGTTTCCGTCATACTTCGTAGGTTGTTCAAAACCCGATAAAGATTGACTCGCGAGGAGCAGGCTGGTTTTCGTGCCGGTCGAGGATGTATTGATCATATCTTCACCCTCCGCCAAATGTTAGAACACCTCCATACTTATCAAAGGCCAACAATCGTAGTGTTTCTTGACATCAGGACTGTCTTCGATTTGTTGGACAGGACTGTTCTCTGGGATTGTCTATTGAAGAAGGGTGTGTCTGAGAAGTTTATTAACATCCTAAAGTCCCTATATACAAACACCTCAGGTAGAATGAGGGCATACAACCACTTCTCTCCATTGTTCCATTCGAGCAGTGGGGTTAGGCAGGGTTGCCCAATCTCATCATTCTTCAACTTTGCCATCAATGACATTCTGGAAACAGCTCTGATGGATGTAAGTAATGGCGGTGTGGATCTGTTGCCTGGAGAAAGAATTCTCGACCTTGAGTAAGCGGATGATATTGTCTTACTGTGTGATAATGCCCAAGCCATACAATCCGCACTTAATCAGTTGGCAATCAGTGTCCGTAGGTATGGTATGTGCTTTTCACCTTCGAAGTGATGAGATCAATGCACGTATAGTGAAAGCCAAAGTGACTTATGCCAATCTGGGCTATCTTTGGTGCCTTCGTGAAGTCAGTCTGGCTGTAAAAGGTCGGATCTACAACGCGTCGGTGGGAGCAGTTTTGTTCTATGCTTGTGAAACCTGGCCTCTCCGAGTTGAGGATGTTAGATGACTCTCTGTGCTCGATCATCGTTGTCTCCGAAGGATTGCTGACATTCAGTGGCAACACCATGTCAGTAATGCAGAGGTTCGGCATCGTGTGTTCGGGCACAGAGTCGATAATGCAATTGGCGTCACCATCTTGAAACACTGACTTCGGTGGCTTGGAAATGTGCTACGAATGTCCTCCCAGAGAATTCCACGGCGTGCATAATTTGCCGACTCTGGGACTGGTTGGAAGAAGCGGAGAGGTGGTCAGTGTATGACATGGTGTCGTGGCATGAAAGAAAGCTGCAAAGGACTGGCGTGTGTTGGTCCTTCACGACTCCCTGGTTGGGGTCCGAGAGATGGTGCAACACAGTGGCTAGAGACGTTATCAAATATGGTTCAGAATAGAAGCCAGTGGTGATCCTGCTGTAACCTTTTACTTTCTTCATAAAAAAGTGGTTGTATCTTCCTTAACTGAAGGAATTCTTCTGGTTGTACCTTTTCGTTTCCCCCATTATTATTATTATTATTATTATTATTATTATTATTATTATTATTATTATTATTATTATTATTATTATTATTATTATTATTACACTACCTTACACTAATCTGTTCGTTATTGTTCTTTTTTAACACTCCTTACCTTCTTTTTTTCTCTTCGAATTCTCATTGTTTTGTGTGGCGCATATATGTTTAGTGCCCCCCCTTGTACTAATATTTATGTGTTCAAATAAAGAATATCACTCTCACCCAACCATAGCAACTTATATCTTCTACCGCAATCGACTGGCTATTCAATGTAGTTTACTGTGACTGTAAAGCATTGTACTGAATTCAAAACCTACCGTATATTTCAAATTTGGGATATTTTTTATCAGGTTAGTAACTAGTTATCTGCATATTGTCGTAAATGTTCCTATTAAAATGTTTCTCTGCTTTCTGCTATGTGAATGTATACTTCCAAACCAGAAACTAAAAAAGATGCTGCGTCAGAATTTAGACCCGAACAAACGTAAGGAAGTGACGGATGCGTTACATTTGGTAAGACAACGAATAGCCACAGCAAAAGATAGAAAATTCCGTAAGAAATTCATGGATAAACTGCAGAAGGAACAAATTGAAAACTTGGAATCAGGGAGATCTGTTCGTTTTATTCCTCGAGGTAAGTACACGTATGTTACTTTTTCAAGAGCCTAAAATAACTGGGCATAATTTTCAGACATTCTTTTCTTTTGACGTAACTCTTTCGTCACATTTGGGTTTTCTAAAAGCTATAAATGTGCATTTACTAAAGTTTTTATACCTAAAAATGAATAAATGCAAATAATTTGTTAAAGGAGTTTGTGTAATATGTCTAGTAGAACGTGTAGTAAACTGAATAAGAACGTTGAGAATACGTTTAAGAGCAAAATGAATGATGTCTTTGGAAATAGACACCTCTAACCAATCAATCAAGTCATAATGAGATGCTTTTGCAGATGTCTTGTAAAACCTGAATCAAACTAATCGTTTTATCGGTCTTCTGAATGCTTTGTTTTCACTTCATGATACTTTAAACCTGGATTTAAAACATACAGTATCACGTAGTAACTTCTAGCCCAACATCTGTAAATCTTTTATCTTTTGTTTAGTTGAGCAGTACTAATTATCATTTAGCTGAAAATACTGAACACATATCTTAGTTATTCTGTTCGACTCGTATTCAGAGTATTGCAAATTAATTTTCATCTATTAAATGGGTATGCTCTTCACATCAACACTTCTGTTTTCAGCAGTTCCACCACCTGCACTTGTTTTCCTATTTGAGCGATGACTTGTCACTTATCACTTAATACTATTAACTATGGTCCCCGTGTGTGCGTAAAGCGGTCTTCCATATCGACGTTTATTTTCTAGATTCTTATCCAACTTTGTCATATTTACCTTTTCAAAGGTAACAGTTTCTTCCTTCAGTTGATCATTATTAGTTTCCTACTTGAGTGTTCTCTAATTCTTCTGGGATATACAGGCAACATTTTTTCAGTGCTCATATTGGCAAAATACGGTTTCATTAATATATGTATTAATACTATAAGAATATTTGATATCCGTTTCTCACTTCTGAAATAATAAAATAGTGCCTTAGTTATTGGTCTACACCAAAGTCTAGCCTATTAATAGGGAGTGACGTGGTTAGTCACTGTGACCATTTCATATAATTGCCGGGTTACATTAGTATTAGTATAGATACCGAAAAGAACTAAAAGTAAAGTTCCAAATATTACCCACCAATATATAGCGGTAACAGTCGTTTTATTCATTACTACAAATATTTTTACAGTAAGGAATTTTCAGCACCACTTACAGAGTATTGCAATCAGTTTCGCTATGAAACAGTTATGTTGCAATTATGGAAAAATTTCATTAGTGCTTACCGATAATCACTATCTGCCGCGGTAAATATCAGATCAGTCTCGCTTTAATCTATCATTATTTTCTGAAATTATTTTTATTTTACAAATGTAAGGCTCATTGACATGAACATATAACCCCTAGCCACTTCGAATTTCGTCAAAATTATTATTTGACTTCCTTATTTATAACTTGTCAATCAGTATAACAATCACGTAATTCTTGGAACAGTTTATGAGGATATAAGTTACTGATTCTGATAGTCTTTTGTAGATTTTTGGTTGATTTATCTTTTCGATACAAATTTTCATTACTTCCCGTCGCAAGCACAAAGTGATTATCGACTTAAATCAATTGAATATATGGGGTAGAGACACTTGTATTTGATAGGGGAATGGTATCGTGCTCACAGCGGAAGGTTAGCACTCTTGGTTGAATTCCGTTCGGAAATCACAAACTAGAAAATAACGGTCATTAAATGCTTCCTAATATGTATATGTTCTTCGTAATACAAACTATCTTTGAGAAATAGTTATAGTTCGTTTCGTTTTCCTAAAACCGCGTTCTTTTTGTTAGACTTTAGATCAGTTCAACAAGTATTTTTTTTATGTCAGAGCTTACTTACACTATTAACATAACTTTTAAACTAATTTTCCAAATTTATCAGCGGAACTCCGTAAACTTGTTCAGAATGAACGTCTGGCACAAATGAGCAAACGGCAAAAAGAGCGGTATTTGAATAGGAAAAAAAGAAGATTTACTTCGGATGATAGATAAATTTATTTATATATTCTGCATATAGTTTTCCTAAATGATACATTCGAATCGCGCACTGTAAATTACTGTACATTTTTAAAAATTATTATCTCATCCCAACAATGTTGTATTCTTTGTCCTCTATCAGTATCTGCTTTTTTGTTTATATATATATATATATATATATATATATATATATATATATATATATATATATATATATATATATATCGGTAACATTTTAGTATTCGGTTCATACTGAAACTACACGATCACAAATTTCAGCAACATATGTAACAATGAATGTTTAAGTTGAATTTTACCACTTTCCAATTGAGCATATTAACAGTGTCCTTGCGTGCGTTCAAAGTATTTCTGAAACAACTTGATTAATAAATTATATGTATAACTTTATTCCCATTATTCTTTCAATTTATTAATCTTAATTTTCTTACGTTAGGATCAGTCCTCAGTGATTGCTCTTTCAAATGAAGTGATTTTTAGCTCTATAGATATAAAAAGACTTATATAATTTTCCGTTTAAAGAATATTCGTTCTCACAGGTGCAATTATTTTAAAATATAATATATATAAAGTGATACAGCAATCAAAAGACTTCATTACAGTCAATATCGAATAAGTTTAGGATTTGAAGATTGAAACAATACATATTTAAGTAAGTCAGGAAGCTTCATATCAGTAGTAAACTAAATTTATTCTTTTATTCACACAACTGGTATGAGTATGGGGTCTATGTGGAATAAATAGAATGTGGCTAACAGTAGGATCCAGGATGTCCTTTTTCCTGTTTGGGACTCTTCAGGTGGGTGTACCTGTACCCTAGAGTTAATGTCCACCTCGGTTTTCGGACACACTGCCTTTTGTTTCGAAAGCCAACGCGTTGTCAACTTAACTATTCCATCCAGATAGACACATTTGAAGATGGTATAGATTTTTCGATTTGTAGTAGTTTGGATTATTCTGTCATTGACATTTGACAAGTGAGTGATCATATGAAATTGTACTGTCAGTTGCTATGTTAACCCTACATAGTTTATTCTAACTTCCAAACAAACCAATCTATTCATTCTTCTTAAACCACATTTTGACCTTGTCACTAATTGGCTTATTAATTCTGATTGTTTCTAGATGAGCGTATGTGTGTGCACATCTTATCCTACTCATCATATGTCTGTAGATTATTTTTATCTGGTTATAAATATTGATTAAATCGGGTTGGCCCACTTGCCTTTACTGCACGTCACTTTGTTTTATCTTGCTTTCCAGTCAACGCTTGTTCGAAATATACATATTCAAAAATCCATTTTCGTATTTGACTTATTTAATTCCGTTCTTCACCAACGCGATTTAAGTCTATGATTATATACGAGGTTTGGTGATAAGCATGTTTCAATAAACATCAGCATGCAATCTAACTGGATTCAAATTAAGGACTACTAGGGACTTAGTGGATAACGCGTTAGCGTTCGAAATGAAAGGCAATTCGTTTGAATCTCAAGGTGAACACCACCTCTAAGGTACAGATACACCCAACTGATCAGTCCCGAATAGAATGAAAACACATCCTGGATCCAACTGTAAGCTGAATTTTGTCTGATCTACGTGAACTTGTAGCAGTGTCTATGTGGGTGTGATCCTCATGGAATGAACATGCGCCAACTAAAACTAGTCAATATATCAACAACAGGATAACCCAAACCAATACAGATTAAATTAAAAAATAAGTATAAGTTTCCAAAACTGGTCGTTTGTCTTTGTTGCACCTTTCATATTTTTTTACCGTCTGAGATCAGTTGTGTGACTTCTCCATTCATCTAACAGTATCATGAAATTTACTGTGTAATGTTATATGACCAGTCGATAAAATCTGAACATTTCTTTACGTCGGAGTAATTAAGGACTACTGACGCAGTAATTCAACTTAGTCCTTGTACCATTTACGCTCTTTTAATTGTTTTATTCGGCTCTAGTTTAAATTAACCTCGCCAAGTATTGGAGTATTTATTGTCTACTGTTAATTTATAGGTTTACTGGTGTCAGCTTTCCTGTCTGCTGTCTTCTGTTAATGCTCTGTGCTAATTTCTAAACGATGTGTTGTAAACTAGTTAGAAACCTACCTCTTTCCGTACACTGTATTCCAATTGTTATGAACCTAAATCTCTTCTTTTTAACAAGTAATACCAGTACAACTTGTCATATCCTCTTAGGTTACAGTTCTAGATTCCGTCCTCACAAAGATGTTATGCTAGATAAACTACTGTGCCAGCAAGCACAACGCTTTTTCGTTGTGGGTTACCATTTGTTTTATTCTGAGCTTTTCACAATCAATGAGCATTTAACGTTTGGTCTTAGATTAGTTGCCTCAGTCGTGCTAACCACATCTTTATTCCCCGGTTCTGACTAAGTTGGTATCCTCGGAAAAAGTAATTGTTTTGGGCGAGGAAAGTAATGAGATTGAAGCCGTGTAGATAAGGTTATTATTGGCCATTGTAGTTTAGTAATCAATCAAATTGACAGACCTTGCTGTCCGAAGGTGATATTCACTAGCTATTTAAACAGGTCGTCTTTATTTCTCATAAGTACAGAGAACAATTATCCATATCGAAAAGACTTGCATTTTCGATCAAGCACTTACCTTTTCATTCAAATCGTTGCTAGCTCGTTCGTATAACATAATTACATATATATCTCTGGTGAATATCCAGTAGAGTTACTGTACAATCAAATGTTTTGTGTTACATTTTTTAATGTTACACTGATAGAATACAAGTCAATTCTATTTCAAATTTGACTTCGTGATTTCGTCCTGTCGAAGTTCTAGCCCATTTCAGGTTAGTAATAATTTGTTAGCCTATTTCAAATGTTCACACAAGCCCAGTTTGAATTCAACTGGTTTGTAGATCTCCGGCTATGTCATATGTATTACTTAAGCTTACCACTTTGTGTAGCTTAAATCGACTCATAAATTCAACCATTAATATCACAAAAATTTCCACAAACCGTCATTCTGACAAGAATTAAATAAGCCGAATACGAGAATGGATTTAGAATATGTATATTTCATTCATTCAGTGATTTGAAAAGGCAATCAAGGAAACGAAACAGGGAAAAGTGAAGCATATTGGAGAAGGCAAGCAGGCCAACTCGGTTTAATCAAGCTTTAATCAATATTTATAACCAGATAAAAATAATCTACAGACATATGATGAGTAGGATAAGATGTGCACACACATACGCTCATCTAGAAACAATCAGAATTAATAAGCCAATTAGTGACAAGGTCAAAATGTGGTTTAAGAAGAATGAATAGATTGGTTTGTTTGGAAGTTAGAATAAACTATGTAGGGTTAACATAGCACTATTCCTCACGTAGATCCCCCCCCCCCAGAATGTCCGGAAGAAACACGTATGCAAAATAAATGAGGGCGAAGGAGCGTGTGTGCATTCATAAACAAAATCAAATTAACAATACATTAATTTCTTAGAAAAATGTCTGCTTTTGGAAATAACACTGAAGAGGTATGTGATTAACGCTAACAATACGTAGAGAAAACAGTTGTACTATACACCATAGATCACAGTATCACGTGAAGGGTGAATATATTATACGAAAGTGTTATCCTTATGTAAAAAGGTACATTCATATCGTCAAGACTTGAATAAAAGTGAAAATGTTAGCAAGTGATTGAGTAAATCAGTAAGCGTACAAAAATTTAACATGCATTCATGACGCGACTGACTGAACGATAAAATAACATGTTCGTATGGGCGATTCGAAATATCATGAAAACAGAGCAATAAATAAATTAGTGTATTTGCAATATCCCAATGAGTAGGAAAGTTAGATTTTCTGACTTTCTCGCCAAATTCCTAAATCACCATCATAAAGCAGCACTGGAGACTTAACTACGCTTGAGAGATCATTTACATGCAGTATAAAAAGTAGATCACCTAGGATAGAGTCTTGACGTACTCTATTAAGTACCGGTTCCCAGGGGGAGAATTTTGAATTTATTCTTACTTCCTGCCTACAATCTGCCACGAAACCCCTGTTTGACTTTGGGATAGGTCCAGCAATTCCTAGATTTTAAAGAGAGCTTTTGTCCAATCAGTTACAAAAAGGCACTGGTCAAAACACTGTTTTACAGAACAGAAAGAATATGTACTTCCGATACACTAGAAGAGGAAGTTATGAATGTTAAAAAATGTTTAAAGAATAACGGATACCCACTGAAATTTATTGAGAAATACGGCAAATGTGAAGTTAAAAAGCCGAAAGAAATTACAGCAAATAAAAAGCCTATTTTTATTAAACTTCAATTCAAAGGTGACGATGTCAAGGATCAATCAATATGAGACTAAAAACTGCACTGACAAGAACTTATCCTGCAGCGAAATTGATTGTCCTGTCCAAAACAACATGCTCTTTGACACAATCAAAGGTCGATAGGTATCCCTTTCATGTTACCACCAACTGTGTATACAAATTTACATGTACCTGCCAAAGCAGTTACATTGGTAGAACAGAAAGGAGAGCCTACGTCCGATTCAAAGAACATATCCCGAAAAGTTTAAGGTTAAATGGATTGAACGCATTCAACAGTGCTATCGCCAGACATCTCCTTGATACAGGACATAAAGCTGATATACTGAAGTCCTTCAAGGTGATTAACAAACAATCAAACTCGAACCTTTTGAAATTCGCTGAAGCGTTAGCAATCAAACGTTTAAAACCAGATCTATGTATACAAAAAGAGACAGTAATAAATCTTTCTTTACCCTGGTAACAATAACCCCCACTCTTTCTATTAATTTGCTCCTATTTATTTATTTATTTATTACGTCATTATTGCAACTCTTTCTGAAATATAAATTACATCATACATAACTGATTGATTTCAATTCATATTTTCTTTATTACCATTAATCAATTTTCATGAGTTCTAATCACTATTTCAATGTTCTGGAACTTTCCCTCTCAAACTTTATTTATTTATTCG